GTGGTAGGAACAGGCTGAAATGGGTAGAGATAGAAGAACAGCTAAGGGAAGAGAGGCCGATAGTATATGGTTTTGTAGAAACACATCTCAGGGACATGGAACAACCTCCGAACTATACGGACTACTCGTGGGATTATTGTAATAGAACAGAAGGCAGCAGAAAGGAAGGTGGTATCGGGGCATTCATTCATAAATGTACAGACTGTCAAAGGGTCAAGCAGGAGTGCAAGGAACATTTATGGCTAAAAGGGCAAGTGGCAGGTCAAATGACACTTCTTGGTTTCGTGTACTTGTGGACGGGAGCAAAGGCCAGACAAGAAAACCATGCAATGGTAGAGTGTATATCAAAGGACATTCAGGAGTTAGGAAGATAATGCGAGATAATTATAATAGGAGACATGAATGCACACATAGAAGATATAGATGGGTATTCCGACCCGACAGGCAAAATGATCATGGATATGTGTGAAAGGCTCGATTTGATCATTTGCAATAGTACCGACAAGTGTGAAGGACAAATAACATGGGAGGTAGGAAGGCTGCAGTCGACGATAGATTATGCACTGATGTCACATAGGATGTATGATAAGCTCTGGGGAATGCACATAGATGAAGGTGGCTCCAGAAGTATGGGTAGTGATCACAAGCGTATCAAGCTAAGTTTTGGAAAAGCAGTGAAAGTGGGAAGAAGACAAGATGAGCAACTACAGGAGAATTTTAACCAGAAAGGCAAATTGAAATAGCCACTAAACAAATTGAGAAAGTAATCACGGAGGATAATAAGACAGTGTGGACATACACGAATCTAATTAGACTCTTTGAGCTAGAGCATGCTAAGACGCGTGACAAGTCACCCCGGAACAGAAGACACAAACCCAAAAGCTGGTGGGATGAGGAAGTTGAAAGAGCCATAGCAAAACGTCAGGAAGCCTCTAGGGAACACAGACATGCTAAGCAGCGGGGTGAACCGACAGATGATGTTGAAAGAAAATGGGAAACCTTTCTAAGCTGTAGAAGGGCTGCATTCCTTCTGATCAATGAAAAGATTAGAAGAAAGGGAGCTGAGTGGCTGGCAGAAGTACATAAAAAGATAGGAAGGCAGCTGCGAAATTTTGGAACCATCTAAACTCCCTAAAAAATGAGACGAGTCTAGAGCAGAGTTTTAACACTACAGCCCAAGGTGCTAGGCTAGAAGGGGACGAAGCTATTGAATATATAAGAACAAGGGTGACAGAAAAATTTCAACAAAGAAGTACTTTATGCACCACAATAGACAAGGACGAATGAAGTGGTGCAATGGCTCCATTTTCACAACGAGAGTTGGAAAGGGCTGAGAAAAGGGTTCCTAGTAGTACATCAACAGGCCCAGATGGCATCCCAATTAGGCTGATAAAGACATTAGGCCCAATGTTCAAGCAGGCTTTGAGAGAGACAGTGAGCAAAATAATAATCGATGGTGAAGTTCCCGATGGATGGAAACTTAGCAGGATGAGCATGATCTATAAAGGAAAGGGGGACAAAGCTGACATAAACAATTACCGTCCTATAACAGTGACATCAGTGGTCTACAGGCTGGCGATGCAGATTATAAAGGAAAGACTGCAGGCATGGATAGAGAATGAGGGGGTGCTGGGGGAACTGCAGAATGGGTTTCAGAAACACAGGAGGTTCGAAGACAATCTGTTCTCACTGACGCAGTGCATCGAAATAGCAGAAAAGGAACACAGGCCCCTGTGGCTAGCATTTTTGGATATCAAGGGAGCGTACGATAGCGTGGTTCAAGAGGAATTATGGGGAATACTAGACACACTAGGCGTGTAACGTGTAGTCACTAATCTTTTAAAGGGCATCTATAAAGGTAACAAGGTAGTTATAAAGTGGGAAAAACAGGTATCCAAGCCTGCAGAGGTAAAACGGGGGCTTAGGCAAGGGTGCCCCCTGTCACCCTTATTATTCATGATGTACCTACAAGGATTAGAGTCAAAATTAGAGGGAAGTGAACTGGGCTTCAACCTCTCTTTAGTAAAACAAGGAAAACTTATTGATGAGGCACTACCAGCATTAATGTATGCAGATGATATAGTGCTAATGACCAACAACAAGGAAGATTGGCAGAGATTGATGGACATCTGCGGTAATGAGGGAGATAGGTTAGATTTTAGATTCAGTAAGGAAAAATCAGCAATCATGATTTTCAATGACAACGAAGGTAGTGAGCTTAGAATACAGGAGGTCACGCTAGAGATAACAGATAAATGCAAATATCTGGGCGTATGGATAAGCAATGGGACCGAGTACCTGAGGGAACACGAAATATACGTGAGGACTAAAAGTAACAGGAATGCAGCAGTGATGAAAAATAGGGCACTGTGGAATTACAATAGGTATGATGTTGTGAGAGGAATATGGAAAGGGGTCATGGTTTCTGGTCTGAAGTTCGGCAATGCCGTCTTGTGCATGAGATCAGAAGTTCAAGCAAGATTAGAAATTAAGCAACGTGGAATAGGTAGGCTTGCCTTAGGAGCTCACGGGAATACACCAAATCAGGGAGTACAAGGTGATATGGGATGGACATCATTTGAGGGAAAAGAACCTAGCAGCAAGTTAAAATTTGAGAAGCAATTGAGAAAAATGGGGGAGGAGCGTTGGGCTAGAAAGGTTTTCAGCTACTTGTACATGAAGAGTGTCGATACAAAATGGAGGAAGCGAACCAGGAAGTTGACTGGTAAATACTTAGAAAACAGCAGGTGACCAAACCAAAAAGAACTAGTGGTTAAGAAGAAAGTGAAGGAAACGGAGACTGACATGTGGAGAATGGGCATGATTAAGAAGTCCGCACTAGAGATCTATTGAACTTTTAAGCAGGAAATTGCCAAGGAAAGGATCTATGATAAAACTCGGGGTAGTTCTCTACTGTTTGAGGCCAGGACGGGAGTACTGCGAGCCAAGACATATCGGGCCAAATACGAAGGGGTAGACACAGTATGCAGTGCGTGTGGAGAGGAAGAAGAAACTGCCGAACACTTGATAATGTTCTGTAAAGGGCTTCACCCTATAGTTCAGGATGATGGCGCAGAGTTTTTCAAAGCACTGGGGTTTAGGGACCGGGAGGGCAAAATAGACTTTAAGTGGATAGACCTAACTAGAAAGAGGTTATGTGATTGGTGGCTAAAGTCAAGGCACGAGTGAAAATTAAACTCTTCACTGCAAAGTATGAATCCTCAAACTCACTTTTGAAGAAAAAAAATATAGTTTTTGGTTCAATAAGTATTACGGCTTGGTGGCGCTAGCCACCGCCCGATCTAAAGGGTACAGCCATATCCATCCATCCATCTATCCGTGCCACTGATGTCCCGACACGTACTAAATAGAACTGGAGTCGTCATTTCGATTTCTTTTAAAATGAGAATGGTATTTCTAGGTGAAACAAGGGAACGGACTATCCCATAGCTTTGGGGACGAGATGTCCGCTAGAGGAAACCCATGCAGGAGGAAAATCGTGGCCCCGCTTTAAAGGGACACTAAAGGGCAAAATATTTTTCTCCTGTTGGTAAGCTACTATTTTAAAATACCACAAAACACTGCACTTGCGGCGAGAAGATGCTTAATAAGCGAAAAAAGCGCGCAAGATAAAACTGTGGGGCGCCGCAGCGCATTTACGTTTCCACACCTATCGCCGTGACGTCACATCTTGACGGTGCACTAAGGTCTGTGCAGTTCCCGATTGGTAAAAATGGAAAACGTTATTCTCTGATGGGGCGAGCGAGTTGAGATACTAAGCGTTATGAATTTTCGTAGAGCCAATGATGCCAGAATGTGACTTTGAAACCTGGGGAGTCACGCGTTGAGATCTCGGCGCGAAACTTAAGAATGGCACTTGTAACTTGTAACTATCCTCTATTAATAAACCTATGATGATGGGATTATTCACATCGGAGTTTTCAGAGTACACATTATCAATCTAAATAGATTCATTTGTCTATTTGGTGCAGAAAGGCGTCTGTGATGCGTGGCATTGTGCCGTGGCCCACGCAGGATTTAAAAAATTGCTGGAGTGGAAATGGTTGCTCAGGAGTGAAACCGTGCATATGGCAAGATGGTGGCTGCGGCGGCCATATTCCTAGGGGCATAACAAAGTATCACCGTTCAGCGATTAAGCACGAGCGTTTCCTTCGCACGCTCAACGAGTTAAATGTGGAAACTTTTTTGGATCACAGAGTGCTCCAAGTGCGCCTTAGTGTTCCAAGTTTTCCTTAGTAAGCCTCTAATTGGAGGCGAAGTTCTTTGGAAATTCAGCCACCCATACTCTTTTCTATGTGTTATTTCGTCGGGAACAACTGTCTTTGAATGTAAAACTAACGTAGCATCTACATTGACATAGCAAAGCCACTTGTTCTCGAAGTGGGCACTACCAGAAAAGAGCATGTTTCCGACATCTTGGCAGGGGCAAAAACTGGCTTCACTTCTAGTGGAAAGGCCTTGCGGGGAGCTTCCATTCCAGCCATTTTTCTTTAATCCTTCTTGCCTTGGCCGGGGCTGAGATAGACGCTGAAAGGCATTCACAGGTGCGGCAACCATGACTGCACCGGATCATCGGGCGGCCGCGAGATCGGGAAAATGGCTGTCTGCCACAAGTTTAGAGACAAAAAGTGAGAGCTCACTCGAAGACGTGAGGACGGAAAACTGTCCTGGTGCATTTGTTTTTCGCCCGCGTGCTTCATTGCGCTAAACCTAAACAAACATAGCAACGCGCCCACCGCTCGAAACGGCATCTTGACAAGACTACTCGCTAAGGTTTATCTAGTTCGCTGTACATTCCTTTGTTGCGCTCTCATTACTTTGGGTTCGTACTTAGGTGACATGAGCCCATTTCAATTATGCCGGCCCAGTCATCACCAGCCTTATTATCATGTTGGCGTCTGAATAGCAACTAGAAATAATAAAAATACTGATAAAGAGCTTACGCTTGTAAAGTTTATATATTAGTGTAAGAAGCTCACACAGCAAGTATGCCAGGCTGTAGATAAAGGCGTTCATCCAGGCGACCGGGCCTTTGGAGGTGGTGGCGAACGCGTCACCTACAGCGAGGAACATCACCGGCATGGCGCGACGCAGCAGGGAGCAGCAGAAGACGTTCCAGGCAGCCCCAACCGCAACCGTCCAGCTGTGTTTGCCATCCGGCACAAGGTCCTCTCTCGGATGCTGCGGCTGCTCTCCGCCAGGCGGCGTCGCCGGTTGCCCCGGGAGCGCCTGTTCGCCGGACTGCTCCAGTTCACCCGGGTGCGGCTGTTCACCCGGCTGCGGCTCGTGTGCTTCCGGTTGCGCCGGGTGTTCGGGTTGCATCGGCGGCTGCTGTCCGTTGGCATGTGCTTCAGTAGCCTGCGGCGGTGACGTCGCATGCTGCTGCTCCGTACCCAGTGGCGGTGCTGCCTCGGCCATACTCCTCCAAATGCGGCGAATATATCTGGGCAAGCGGAATCCTTTATGTTGCTTTATGTGGAGACGGACTGTTTCTTTACACTTGTCATCAAGTGAAATATTCGTGCTGAACGCTCGAATTGCCCACGGCTTCTCTTATTCTTAGTGCATGTTCATGCCCTCTTAGACAGTGTTTTATAGAACGCTTTCCCTGAGTAGTATAGCCTCTCCTGCAGCCAGGTGGATGCACAACAATCATTTGTACGTTGTATATACAGGAGGTAAGAAAGTTACGCCAACGTTTCATCTACGCTTCCGCAACCTCCACCGGAAAAGTTTCCTGCATTTCTAACCACTCTTTACGCCGCGTTCTTCACACGTGTCACTTGGCGCTTGTCAACGTAACTATAGAATAGTGATCTGTCGAACGAATCATTGAGAAAAAAACTAAACCTAAACACACTAGTTGCCACAATCAAGTGCAGTGAGAGAAATCTCATTTATAGGCTGAACTGATATAGTACTTGATTTATTCGATATACTTGATTCAAATAGTATAGCAGGCCGTCTATAAAAACTGAAGTATGTCAATATTGTTTTCTTTACAGCATTACAACTCATTTTGTGGAGGCCTGGAAATCAGCCTAGCGCCTACGGGATACGTCAGTTATGTTCGCGGAGCAATAATTGTTGGGGTTTGCAGTCCCCAAACGTCCGATACAATTATAGGAGACGACGAAATTAAGGGCACCGGAAATTTCACCCTTCCGGGTTTTTTTAACGTGTGCCTAAATTTATGAAGCACACGGACATCTACATTTTCACCTGCATCTAAATGCGGGCCACAGCGGTCAGGTTTCGATTCCGCGGCCTGTAGGTCAGCAGCCAAGTGCCTTGTACACCACTGTAGTTCCTAAATTTCCGGACAGTATTGCTGAGAGTCGGCCTCTTTCCTTAAATGCTGACTTGTACAAGGGATCGCTCACTTGCTTGCTAAGAAAAGAACTTACCCAAGGCCTGTCTAAACTGTATATTTTACTAAGACTTGTACATAGCTTATCGTTGATTTGCCCTTTGACTTTTGCTCATTCCGCCTAGTAAAGCTTCATCTCACTAAGACTTCGACCTGAATACAGGGCGGAAAACAATGTTGCAACACCAGAATGCTTACCAGGCCGATGAGCTATGACCGTGGCACCCACCGTCTCTTCTTCTTCTGAGCGTGCCTTAGCGCGCGCGGGACACATTCAGTGCTTGAGGACACGTTACAAGGTTAATTTGTTATGATGATGATGATAATGATTACTATATACAGTGTTTATTATTTCTCGTCCTTCTTTCCTTCAGTAATATGTGACAGTTTTATTATTTGAGAACAGGGGGGTCGGATCGCTGTTGTTTTCATTTCTTCAGCTGGTGTTAGGGAGGGCCGTTTAGTGGGTATTAAACTTGATAACAAGTTTACTTGCACGTTACCATCAGCACTTCATCGCAATAGAGGAGAGCACAAGAGCTGACAGGAGCAGCTTGAAAGGGCACACGCAAGCGTATTATGAGCGAAAAAGATAACAAAAGGTAGCAAGCACGCTGCTACCTCTTCCCACCTTCCTCGTTCGTAACATTTGATTGGTTGATTGATTGATTTGTGAGGTTTAACGTCCCAAAACCATGATCTGATTATGGGAGACGCCGTAATGAAGGGCTCCAAAAATTTTGACCACCTGGGGTTCTTTAACGTGCACCCAAATCTGAGCATACGGGCCTACATTTCCGCCTTCATCGGAAATGCAGCCGCCGCACCCGGGATTCGATCCCGCGACCTGCGGGTTAGCAGCCGAGTATCTTAGCCATTAGACCACCACGGCGGGGCTCCGCGTTCGTAACAGGCATTGTGTCCGCTGCACGTGGCAACAACGTGCAGCAGACACAACGCGTACATTACAAGAAACCGCGCCCACGGAGCGCCCTCGATGACGGCCTAATGAACTTACCAGCAAAATTCATCGCGTGTCCGTACCCTCGAGCTGCTGAAGCCCATCGCAAGGCGCGTCCGTTCCATTTAGTAAAAGAACAGCCTCATTCCTCGAGGCTAAAGCCAGAGAAATAGAAGAGTGCCCGTGGCTCTCCACCAGCGCGGAGGGTATACCATTTGGACTTGTTATTAAAACATTCACAAACCGATCGCTGGTGCTCAAATGGATGCAGCGTGTGCAATTGGCCTGCCTGCGTTGTCATCTTTTTGGAATGTCGAACTAACTTTGGAACGAAAGTTCCAAAATGCGTGTCTTTCTCTGCCTATTCTTTCGCCTTTCGCGCTGTTTCGCTCCAATAACTTTGGAAGGTACCACTGTGAGCAAGTCGTTCTTACCCGTCCTCCTATTTAATCTGCGTTAACAACGAGTTTATAAAATGCGTTTACTGAACAATGCTTGTTGCAGAACTAGTGGATGAAGCACAAGCGTCAAATTCGCGCGTACGTGCTAACCATATATAGCCTGATAAACGGCTCAATTCACGAACCTTGAGCGTCAGCGGCGCTCAATGTCAATGCGCGGTAATGACAGACCCACCGGATGTCACTGGAGAGCGTCACCCATTATAACGTTCGTTACTGATACATATGTACATCATCATCACCATCATAATCATCATCAGCCTGACTACGTCCACAGCAAGACAAAGGCCTCTCCCATGTTCCGCCAGTTAACCCAGTCCTGTGCTTGATGCTGCCAATTTATACCCGCAAACTTGGTAATCACATCTGCCCACCCAACCTTCTGTCTCCCCCTAACCCACTTGCCTTCTATGAGAATCCAGTAACTTAACCTTAATGACCAGCGGTTATCCTGTCTACGCGCTACATGCCCGGCCCATCTCCACCTCCTCTTCTTGATTTCAACTATGATATCCTTAACCACCGTTTGTTCCCTAATCCACACTGCTCTCTTCTTGTCCCTTAAGGTTACACCTACCATTTTTCTTTCCATTGCTCGCTGCGTCGTCCTCAATTTACGCTGAACCCTCTTTTTAAGTTTCCAGGTTTCTGCTCCGTATCTTAGTACCGGCAAGATACAGCTGTTGTATACCTTCCTCTTGAGGTATAGTGGCAATCTACTTCTCATAATTTGAGAGTGCTTGCCAAATGTGCTTCACCCCCTTCTTATTCTTCTAGTTACTTCAATTTTGTGGTTCGGCTCCGCGGTTATTGTCTGCCTTAAGTATACATAACGTTTTACAACTTGAAGTGGACTATTACCTATCTCGAAGCGCTGCTCTTTTCCGAGGTTGTTGTACATTACTTTCGTTTTCGGCACATTAATTATAACACCCATCTTTCTGCTCTCCTAGTCTAACTACGTAATCATGGGTTGCAATTCGTCCCATGAATTACTCAGCAATACAATGTTATCGGCGAAGCGCAGCTTACTAAGGTACTGTCCATTAACTCTTACCCCTAACTGTTCTGATACATATATACATACATACATACATACATACATACATACATACATACATACATACATACATACATACATACATACATACATACATACATACATGCATGCATGCATACATACATACATACATAAAATAACTATATTGGATAATGATATCCTGGGTTTATTTTCTTAAAACTACGATATGGTTGTGAAAGACGCCGTAGTGGAGGGCTCCGGAAATTTCGACTGTCTGGTGGCGTTCAACGTACTAACATTGCATAGTAGACGGGCCTCTCCTATTTCGCCTCTATCGAAATGCGACGGCCGTTACCGGGATCAAATCCGCGACGCATGGGTCAGCAGCCGAGCACCCTAGCCACTTATCCTCCTAGGCGAATAAGAGCGTTATTCTAGTTCTGAGGGACAAAACTAAACTGAAACTACTGCTTGGGTGAGTTGGTTCTTGATAATTTAGACGGAGCGCGAAAAAAGACGGAAAGCTCCATCTTTTGAAGACGATAGTCTTTCTTGGGGACCTTCGACGGAAATTTTCTGGTCTGTCGGTCTGCACAATTGTCTGTTTGTCCACCCTAACGATACCTCAAACGGCACCAAACGGCCAACCCCATCCGCATCGTCCAACAATATTGCTCAAGAATAGTGTTCATAGTTGTGCGATTGTCACTTAAAAAGCAATTATTGCGCATATCTGAGGTGCCACAACAGCGCTTCGCTGTTTTCTATGTCTGATTTTATACTAGAAAAGGCACACACAAGTAACTCTAGGGAATGCAGCGTTTAATCGCGCTGCGCTGACAGTGCAACGCGATGCTCAAAAAGGTGTTTCCAACGCTTTGCAATGACGTCACGGTGGTGAAACCTGCCCGTCACTTTGCGTTCTACACCTCCGAGACTGGCGCGCATCTTTCTCCGCGGGCCGCACGCCTTTGTTTTTGAAGATACCTGCCAGATGGCACTTGTGTCTAACGTGCCTAGATGCGCTCGTTCGCCTCCGAAACACGCTCGAGGCACTCTAACGCAGCGCCTGCAGAATACCATTCACCAATTTTCTTGCGCAGAACATCAAATAAACGTTTTGTTCACTCTCTCTAGACGCAAGACTATCGTCTTTCGACGACATTTACAGTGTAACAAGTAGATTCGGGCAAATTTTTTTTTTGTGCTAAATCTGTCTAAATAAAACCAAAACAGGCCACGAGACCGCCTCGGCCAAATCAGAGTCTCCGACTTCCGAACCGACAGGTAATGACTCTCGGTGACGGCACGAGCCCTCTCGACGGCCTACGACTAATGCGTAAGATCCGGACTGACCAATCGCTCATCCCAGGTGGCCGCATGGTGTAGGTTGGAGCCCACATTGAATTAACATAGCCAGAGCATATAGTCGAAAAAGCAGGTTCAATGCCCACACGACCATGGAACATTGGCATTGGACCAACAGAAAAATTTAGGGGCGAGATAAGAGCGAACTTTGAAGTGTATGTGTGCTAGGTATAATGAGTGACATATGTCCTTCATGCGAAGGCAAGATTGATGAATCTGAGTCATGGCTTCTGTGTT